TACTACTACTACTACTACTAGTCAGCTTAGCCCTCTTGTGTGTCGTCCGCGTAGTAGTCGTGTTAGCCCTTTGCCGAATGTTGAGTAGTCGTCGTTTTCGACATGTTTTTGGTCGTGGTGTTCAACGTCGTAGTCGTCGTCGTCGTCCTTCTCGTCGTCGGCGTCGTTGTTTTCGTCTTTGTCGTTGTCGTTGCCGTCGTCGCAATGCTGGCGATAGCAGTAGCAGTCGTCGTCGTCGTCGTCGTCGTCGTCGTAGTAGTAGTAGTAGTAGTAGTAGTAGTAGTAGTAGTAGTAAGAGCAGTAGTAGTAGTAGTAGTAGTAGTAGTAGTAGTAGTAGCAGTGGTAGTAGCAGCAGCAGCAGCAGCAGCAGCAAGTATTGAAGCAATCTTCAGAGCCCGTGGATGGGCTTGCCAAGGTCAGCGTGGGACCGGTGACCTATGCCGGCGGCCAACCGACCACGACCGGAGCGGTGACATACACCACGGGAGCTCCCGTCACCTACGGCGCTCCGATGGCAAGCACGGCCCCGGTTACGTACACTTCGGCCCCAGTGACCAGCGCGGCACCGGTCACATACACCTCTTCGAGCCCGGCCCCAGTCACTTACACAAGCGCTGCGCCGGTTACGTACACGACCCCGGCCCCCGTCACGTACACGACGGCAGCTCCGATTACCAGTGCGGCGCCGATCACGACCGTGGTGCAGACCTTAGGCCTTAGGCCGTGATGTCGGAAGTGCTAGCATCGTAGAAGCAGCTGGGGCATCATAAACGTAATACACGGCTTTGTGTTGACATCGGAGTTTGGGTGCAGCATCGCAAGTGGACCATTGTGCCAACGGTTCGGAGCCTGGCAGCCATAGCCGCCTTGATCCGGTGCTTTTCACGCTAAGCCATCCATCCCAAAAGCGTTGTCTCCGTCCAACAGACGTGACTTACAAGCAGTACATGAAGAACTATTTTTCTAACTGTCTGTGCAGGCTGTACCACTTGTGAGGGAGCCGGAAGTTTGACTGTGGCTGGATATTATATGCTGTTGAGTCTGTTCACAGACGAACGAACAGGTGTGTAGTTCATTGTGTCATGGCGTGCGGGACGTTACGACTCTCGAAACAAGTTTTGAATTCCTGTCCTTTCATGTAGCGCCCTAAACCCTAAAACCTAAACCCTAAGCCGGCAAGGTGCAGGCGGCTTCAGAGACGGTGCCAGCCACAGGAACGGGTTCTTCCGTGCACTATTCCCAGCCGCAGGGTGTCACCTACACTACGGTGACATCGCCTGCTGCAGCCGTTGTGCCACAGGGATCCTCGGTGAACTACTCGCCACAGCCAGTGACTTACACCCTACCCCCTGTGACGATGGGTGCCCCTGTGACGATGGGTGCCAGCTCTTCCGCAGTGTATGCAGCTCCCGAGCAGCAACCGCAGCAGCCTATGATCTATGCCGCCCCGGCCGAGGCACCGGCCCCAGCTCCCATGCCGGCCATCTATGCTGCCCCTGAGCAGCAGCCCATGACCTATGCTGCACCGGCGGCAGCGCCCACCCCGGCTCCCGCACCTGCGATCTATGCCGCGCCGGCAGCGGAAATGACACCGGCCCCTGCACCGGCAATTTATGCAGCTCCTGAGCAGCAGCCCATGACCTATGCTGCTCCCGCTGCAGAGCTGAGCACGGTGATGAGCTCACCGGCAATTTACGCAGCGCCCGAGCAGCAGCCAATGACCTACGCTGCACCGGCCAGCGCACCCCCTGCTATCTATGCAGCCCCTGAGCAACAGCCAATGACCTACGCTGCCCCGGCTGCTGAACCGACGCCTGTGAGCGTCCCAGCTGCACCAGCCATTTATGCTGCACCCGCGGCAGCCCCCGAGATCCCCCCAGTGTATGCTGCACCGGCCTCGTTTGCATCTCCTGCCATGGAGATGCCAGCTGTGTATGCCGCCCCAGCCAGCATGGAGATCCCAACCACGGTCACCTACGCCCCGGTGCAAGGCTCATCCCAAGCTGTCGCTCCAATCACCTATGCCTCTGTGCAGGGCTCATCCCAGGCAGCACCTCCAATGACATCTTCGGCCGCTGCCGCCGCTGCCGCACCGATCCAGACCAGTAATGTAGTCTACTCGTCGCAGCCTGTGTCCTATCCGACGTACACCTACACAGCGCAGCCTGCCCAGACTTACACGGCGCAGCCTGCCCAGACTTACACGGCGCAGCCTGCCCAGACCTATGCCTATCCGACCTACACCGCGGCACCTCAGTACACGTACACTACGGCTGCGGCCGCGCCCACCTTCGTGCCCACCGTCGGCAGCCAGCCGTACACGTACACCTACGCTCCCCAAGCGGCCGCTCCGATCGCAACAACCACTGTCGCTGGCGGAGTGGGGGCCTCAAGCTCAAGCAGGGTTCAGGCTTCAGGGCTCTAGGTTTATGATGGTTTATGACATATGGTTATGATAGTGAGTGTTGAAGTAATAGATATGTCTATATATATATACATATACATACACAGGTTTTAGATACACATACAAAAAACCACACACCCGCATGTACGCATATCTCTTTCTCACCAAAAGCTTATTTGTCTTTCAGACCCCCCTTCCAGGCTCAAGCAACCCCAGTCAAGCCACGTGCATCCTCAACCCCCCTAAACCCTAAACCCCGAAACCCCTAAACCCCTAAACCTCTAAACGCTGAACACTCAACCCTCAGATCTAAACTCCAAGCCGAGACCCTCAATGCCAAACCCTCAATGCCAAACCCTCAACGCCGAACCCTCGACCCCAATTCTGAGTCCCGTTTGGGGTTTGGGGGTTTAGGGTTTTAGGGGTTAGGGGTTCAGGCGTTTAGGGGTTTAGGGGTTTAGGGTTTAGGAGTTTAGGGTTTGGGGTTTAGGGTTTAGGGTTGAGGATCCTTTAAGAGCCGTCCGCGCAGCCCGGCAGTCTTCACGCGATCTGCCCGAGTTCTGACGTAGAACGGTCTGGGGTCGAGGGGTGAGAGGGGCTCTATGAGGGTTTGTAGAAGGGCTCTATCCTTGGTGTTGGGGAGCTGGGAGTTTTCCTTGGCAAGGGGTCCTTCTTTTGACTTAAACCCTCAACCCTAAACCCTAAACCCTTCTTTTGATGGAAGGGGAGTCTCCGGAAGAGGCGAAGTTGTGAACGTAGCAGCTCGGGTGCTCTGGATCCGATCCGAAAAGCCTTGGAAACCTTGAACCCTACCGTAAGAACCCAAAACCGACTCTTTTGTAGGGTCCCTATAAATCCCATACTAGGGTTTATAATAAGAACCTGCAAAAAAGTGGGTTTTGGGTTCTTAAGGTAAACCCTAATATAGGGGCCTTGATAATTGGAATAGGGTTTTGGGGCGCAGAATACCATAATCATAATAAGGAGGAACCTCGAAAATAATATAGGTAATTATTTAGGCCCCTACATTAAGCCCGAAACCCGAAACAGTTTAACGCCGGAGCATGGCATAGGAGCCCTAAGCCCTAAACCCGAAAGACCCCAAATCGACCTCAGCTCTGAACTTAAACCTGCAAAGCAGGGGAACTCGCAAATAGGGTAGGGTTTAGGGTTTAAGGTTTAGGATTTAGGATTCAGGATTTAGGGTTTAAGGTTTAGGATGTTTTAAGGCATAAAACAACACAAAAACCCTGAAACTCTAAGTCTAGACCCGTTTGAGAGAGTTCAGGGTCCAGGGTTTAGGGCTTGGGGTTTAAAGTTTAGGGGAGCATCTTCGAGGATCTCTTCAGCCGCATGGATGTCAACAACGATGGAGTGGTCTCTCGTGAAGAGTTCGAGAAGGCTATGAAGGCGCCCGTGAGTCCTGCGTGTGGTTGAGTCTGTTGAGGGGTGCCATGCAGGACCCTGGTACGTTCTCATGTTCAAGTTTAGTATTGAATCAGCCCTCCATTTTCAGCCATGTTAGGGCGAGTGACAACAGCTGTATTCTTCGTTCTTCGACAGACCCTCAACCCTAAAGCCCTCAACCCTAAGCCCTAAACCCTATCCCTAAACCTCAAACCTTAAACCCTGTAGAGCTCCGTGTAGAAAAATCCTTTAAACGAACCCTGAAAGGAACCCTTTCTTGACGCGCAGTTTCCCTCTGTCATGTGGGTAGTTCTGTAAATTAGGGTCCCTTTTTAGGGTCCGTTTGATAAGCGCGCCGTACCATTCTGGGGACCTAAACAGCCCTCATTTACAGAACTACCCCTAAACCCTAAACCCTAAACCTTCGGGCTTTCTGAAGCGCAGCTGTCCTCTGCAGTTTGGGGGGTTGGGAGCCTTATCTTTGCAAAGTGGCAGAGCTTTGGCAATGCAGGGGTTCCGGGTTCAAGCTTCTGCCCATTAGGGCCTTAGGGCTTTAGGGCTTTAGGGTTTAGGGTTTAGGGTTTAGGGCTTTAGGGTTCAGGGCTTGGGGTTCAGGGTTTAGGGCTTTAGGGCTTTGGGCTTCAGGGTTTGGGGTTCAGGGTTTAGGGTTAAGGCTTCGCGAGAGGGCGTGGAGTTGAGGATTTAGGTTCAGGGACAAATGCTTCTTCAGAGGGTGCTGCTGGGCGAAAAGAGAAGACTTGGAGGAAGATTTTAGGGTTTAGGGTTTAGGGGGTTTTTCAAGGCTCACAGAGAGTTTTAGGCTTAGGATTCGAGGTTTCGGGTTCTAGGTTCAAGGTCCGATCAAGAGCAGAATGGCAGTATGGATCAGACAACTGCAATGCGAAGGGTTTAGGGCTTAGGCCTTGTTGATGATGAAACTGATGTGCCTTCTGGAAACCTTTAGACCCGAAAGGCAAAGCCCCACACCCCGAACTTTGAACACGATAAACCTAAGCCCTAAACCCTAAACCCTAAACCCTAAACGCTAAACCCTAAACCCTAAACCCTAAGCCTGACGAATAAGTCCGAACCCCTGAAACCTGGTGACGCAGGTGGGGCGGGGATTTCTTGTGGGGCTTTCGGGCAGAGTGGACTGAACATCTCCTCACCGGCATCGCCCTCCAACAGCTGGGGTTTAGAGTTTGAGGCTTAGGGCATTGGGTCTTTGGGTTCGGGTTTGGGGTCCAGCCCTAAACCCTAAACCCTAAACCGGGTTTACGGCTTCGGGCTTAAGTGCAGCGGGTGCGCTTCCAAGAAAGGAGTTCCCTCTTAGAATGAAGGGGCATCCTGTGCAAGCTACAGAGGTCGGACAAAGGAGTAAGCACATCTCCCTATAGTCACAACTATACCTCTACCATAAGGTATCCCAAACCCTGTTCAAATTATTAAACCCTACAACTACCCCCAAGGATCAAGACCCTTAATATACAACCCTACACCCTAAACCCTAAACCCTTATATACCTCATGTCAAGAAGGCCCCTAAGTTACATGGGTTTAGGGTTTTAGGGTTTTAGGGCTTTAGGGTTTAGGGTTTAGGGTTTAGGGTTTTAGGGTTTAGGGTTTTAGGGTTTGGGGGTTCAGGGTTTTTTGGGTTTCTTCGGCTTAGGGTTTCGGGTCTAGGCGTTAGCCCGAAGCCGTAAGTAAACCGAAGCCCCGAACCCTTGACACCAAAACCAGAAGTCCTAACAACACCGAAGGACTAAAAGCAAAACACCAAACCACTAGGGCTTAGGGTATAGAGTTTAGGGTACACTTATACAATCCGTTTTCACGCAGTATGGAAACCCTTATAGAACCCCAAGCACCATACCGAAAAACCACAAGAACCCCACCGGGGAGGCGGCGCCGTGAACGCCGGGGTCTCAAAACGTTGCATTCGAGCTTTTCCAGCTGGCATCACGATAGCCCTAAACCCAAGACCCTAAACCCTATTGACCCTAGTGTAAGAGCTTCAGAACACAAGGGCCACAACATAGCCCCTGCAAAGCAGAGCTCTGTCCGAATGATACGAGCAAAAAGGCGGTTTCGAAATTTCGGAGGCCTCCTGAACCGTAAACCCCTACAAGGCCTCCTAAACCCTACACCCTAAACCCTAAACCCTCCTAAACACGAAACCCCTAAACCCCGAGACCCTCAACCCGTCAACCCTCTTCCTGGCGGTAATCCCTTAGTAGCCCTTGTGGCTTCGGGTTTAGTGTTTGGGGTTTTGGGTTCAGGGCCCTTGAGTGGCCGGTATAGGGTTCCCTTAAACCCAGGACCCTTTCGAAAGGGCTTATGGGGGGTTTCCGAAAATAGGGGACCCTAACATAGCACCCTAAATAGTAGGATCCTTATTTTAAGGATCCCCCAAATAAGGTACCCTAATTTTCCGAAACAACCTCATGGAATTCTAGATTTCAGCTTCGGCGACTTGGACTTAGGATTCCCTTGCTCGACTCAGAGGCCACAGTTTCGATGCCCGGCGCACGCTCGTCAAGAGTGCTCGAAAGAAACATGGAGACCGAAGGGCCCGCTAACAAACATAAGTGTGAATAATAAGTGCATACATATACCTAGACATATACATATATATATATATATATATAGATATATACACATATGTATATATATATATATGTATAGATACATACATACGCGTGTAGGTAGGGCATATGCATCTGTACATGTGCGTGTGTGTATATGTACATATATATATATATATATATATACATACACGTGCGAAAACGGGAAACAACCGTGAGATGGGTCTATTTGAGAGCGTACGCGCACACACACACACACACCGATTATCTAGAAGTGCTTCGTTCTTGGGAATATTCCGCGGTTTAGGGTTTTAGGTTTGGGGAATAGTGTTTAGGGTGTAGGGCACAGGGTAGGGGGTTTCAGGGTTTCGACTTAAGGGTCTACAGGCCTCCGCCCACCGGTACCTTCTCGTGAGATGGATCCTCGTGGTCTTCTAGGACTGGCCCCGGCCTCGGCGTGGGAGGTCGTTAGTAGCGCTAAGGGTTTCGGGTTGAGTGTTTGGGGAGTACATTATGTTACCCGTATGAAAAACATAGGCAGCATAGTTTTGCTGAGAGTTCGCGGGGCTGGCTGTGTAAGCTGTCGGGCTCTCAGTCTTGTGTTTCTTCAACAAGAAAGGTTTCTTCGACTTCCTTGCGCAGAAGTGCATAGCATGACGAGCTGTATATACTGGCATGAAAGTCTCATGCATTCGTGTACATTGTACATGTCTCCCAGGTATGAAATAGTATACACTGATGTCTGACGGTGCGGTGCGTGGTGGTATGCAGCAGTACAAAATGCATAGTTCTCAACAATGCAAAATGCATCTGCAGGTCCCCACGTATATCATAGGTCCTATGGCATGCAATCGAAAATGCTGGTATTTTGTGGTGCGCAGCAGGATGCAGTTGTATGTAGGTGCTGCGTACTTGTATGCCGCAAAATAGCCCACGCAAAGCAGCATGTGGACATCCTCGTATGTAATCGTAACCAACAGTGCACCGTGGTTACGGTGTACTTTAGTAGTGTAAAGACACATGGTTGCGTACCTGCGTGAATTGTCATGCCTTATTGTGGTGCGTCAAGCTGTACTAACACACGGGTCTACGGGTCTAAGGGTTTAGGGTTTAGGGGTTTAGGGTTTAGAAAGGAACGAATTTAGGGTTTGGTCAGGGTGGTGTTATTCAGGTTCCTACAGTGAGGCCTAATCTGTACATTGTAGAAGGCTCCTGAGTCTGATTTAAGGTATGTTCCTTAATTCAGACGGGCTTCTAAGACCGTATAGAAGCCCCAAGTCACAAGAACCTCTAAACCCCTAACCCCTAAA